TATACATATACATACATAAACACACGCTATATGTGTATTTTATGTATGTCATGTTTAGATATGCTTGTATTCATAATTTTCAAGTCACGTGTTATAGAACTTGATTAGTTTTCCTGGTAAATTATGTTCTGTATCAAGTCAATGGGAAATAACTTAGTCGATTGGTCAATAGTTTTGTCATTACTAACAATGAAAAAGGTACATACAACATTTGTTGTTAAGTCATTCTCAAGATCGATGAATAAAATTTGTTTAAAACTATATGGATTGAGAAAGGACTCTATCGAATCACTCATTCTAAAAGGTTATCTCGGTTTAGATCTGTTGTGCCTTGAGAAACCAAAACAATCGCCGAGAAAGATAAACAACCAACCAAAATCAACAGCACAAACAACCAAACACCAGTTTTACGTGGTTCGGCAAGATGCCTACGTCCACGGGGCAAGGAGGGTGGAGTTTTCACTATTAGAAATCAAGAGGAACAAACTAGGGTTACAAATCTCTCATAAACCCTCAACAATCAACTCTCAATCTCTCCAATTGCTCCTAGAATAGAAGCCCAAAGAAAACTCTCTCAATCTGCTCAAATTCGTCCTTACTCTTACCCTAAAAAACACCCAATGGGTATTTATACAAATCCAAAACGAAGCGGGTCTGAAAACAGGCCCAACTCAAAACCGCAGCGGCGGTCGACCGGTACGGTCGACCGGTCGACCTCGCGGTCGACCGGACCGGTCGACTGCTGGCGAAGATTCTACCAAAACTGAGCCGACACCGATCAAACCAATACCTCAACTGTTGCACCCAGTATGCCATGGCAACGGACTCATGACAACGGACTCCAATCGCAACACGTCGAGATCCAAACGGGAGTGCGAACACTCAACCCCAAACCAACTGTGTCTACTCACCAAACAACTGAGCCTACGCCGACTACACCAAATGCCTCACTTGCTGAGACCCAAATGGGAGTGCGAACACTCTCCCCAAATGTCGATGTCGCTCACCAAATCGGCTGCATCATAAAGACTGCCTACGTATCCTCTTGCCCAAGGAATCAAGCCTTCACGTAGTTCACCCTATGGGCCTCCAAAGACCCTCAATCCAACTTGCGGCTGATAGCATCATCAACGACCCCAAACTGAAGCGATCCGAACACCTCCACCTGAGGTGAAACAATGGCCGTATCCAAAAAATATCCACCAGCTGCATCCAAGTCAACCACCTCATCATCTGCCCCCATAAATAAATGACTCCCACGCTGTGCCACCTCAGCTGGAATCCCAACCAATGCAGAATGACCTGGAGTATGTGGGAAAGTCCCCACCCAATGTGGAGTAGCATCAACCTCCACCCGCTGCGATATCCCTCTGACCTGATCAATACTCTCCACCTGCCGAGAGTCCAAAGTGACAAACCTGCTCAGACCAAACTCAGAAGCTCCCAACTGATAGCCAAATGAACTCCTGAATCCCAACTGCGTAATCGGATCTAACTTCACATTAACGATGTGACCAAGTGCTGGATAGCCAAATATCCGACGCCGGCCAAAATCTGAAACAGCTCCACCAGATCTAACAACTCTATACGCAGCAGTCGGCAACCTCATAAGATGACCCAAACCTGTCGAAACGTGAATACCAGATCCACTGCTCGACAACCAATACCAATCCTCCTCCAGAAAAGAACGGCCCACTAAATCCGCCATCTCATCACGTCGCCCCACTGTCTCCTTCCCTCTGAAGTGTCTCCAACTGCCGTGAGCTCGGCACCAATGCAAGAAAGGACTCCTACTAGAATAAGTACGACTGGTAACCTTTCTGCCCATACACCTCCTCCAACTGTTGCGGACTACTAGGTCTTTATACCAACGGGACTTGGTTGCAACCCAAATATGCCTAGTACAATCCCCAACATAGGAAACAAAATAACGATTACCTCCCGATGATGCCTCCTCGGAAAGCCCCCCAATGCCTGACTGAACACCTCCAATAAGACCCCTCGATCGGTGGATAGAAGTGCTGAACTCCACCTCGGTCTTCTTGCTCATACCAATGTGCTCACAGGACTTCAATCTGCAGGTCATAGCACTCCTCAACAATCTGTGCACGGTATAACCAATAATATATCCCAGCACCAAACAATGCCACAGTCTAGCCATAGAAGTAGTCAGCGCCCTATCAACTACCGTGCTCCCAAGTAGATAATACAAGTTACTCCGTCTGACTCCCTTCATCACAATCATGGACCCCGATGTGACCTTCAAGCGAGAATCCGCCAAGGTCACCCTATAGCCTGATGCCTCCAATACCCCAAGTGAAATGATGTTCTTCCTCAGTTGAGGAACGAACCTCACATCAGCCAACTCCCGGATCATCCCGTCACTCATTCGAATCTGAACGGTACCAATACCACCAATAGGACATCTGTGATCATTACCCATAAGAACAACATCTCCTCTTTCCAACTCTTGAAAGCTGGAGAACCAATCCCTTCTAGGGCATATGTGGTAAGTAGCACCAGAATCCAACATCCACTCGGTGGAGTCGGCAACATCAACTGACGGAAGAGTTGGGCACGAATAGCTCGAAGAATCTGAATCAGAAACATCGCCACTAGCCTTGGCAATATTCACCTCTGAAGCTTGAATAGCTTTGCCACTAGCCTTGGCAATATTCACCTCTGAAGCTTGAATAGCTTTCCCTTTATTCTTCACAGCTTGCAATTTTGGGCATTCGGCTTTCCAATGTCCATCCTCTCTACAAAAGGCACACTGATTCCTACCAACTGCAGGATGCCCCACTCTAGACTGCGACCTTCTTCCACGGTTTGGACTTCTAGCTCTTGCAACCAATGCACCAGCAACCGGCTCGATGGAAGTCTCCTTGTCCTTCTTTCGAAGTTGATAATTCACAAGGACTGCGGTGACCTCACTATACGAAAGTGATGCCTTTCCATTAATAAGAGTGAGGACGAAGATCTCATATTCCTCGTCGGGCAAGGAACTCAATAACAACAATGCCTTGTCCTCGTCTTCAATCTTGACATCTACATTCGCCAAATCTGCAAGTAGCTTCGTGTAGTGGTTCATGTGATCACTAATAGATGTCCCCTTCTTCAATTGGAAGCGATAAAGCCTCCTCTTCAAATGCAAACGATTTTCGATGCTCTTCGTCAAATATTTGCCCTCTAGGACCTCCCAAATCTTCTTTGCCGAAGTTTCATTCATCACATCATATTTAAGGTCTTGGGTAAGGCAAGACCTAATCACACCACACGCCGTTCTATTCATCTTATTCCAAACCTTTTCATCAACGTCGGCCGGTTTTCCGTCCAACTCCAATGTATCTTCCAAATTTTGCGCATTTAGCGCATCCATGACTTCGCATCGCCAAAGTCCAAAATTATTTGTGCCGTTGAACTTTTCCACATCTATTTTCATAGAATGTATATTCAAACTTTGGACGGCCTTCACACCAGAAGAACCCTCCCCACTTTTATCTTTTTCAGCCATATATCTCAAAGCACCACCAAACCAATGCGGAAACAAACGAGAAATAGATCCAAATTGAAAAAGACGAGATTTTTACTGAAAAGATCCCACATTTATCACCAAACGAAGCCCTAGATGAACTTCCAAAGCGATCTACTCCTCCAAAATAGCCCAAGCGTAGCCCGGAGCTTTGATACCAATTGTTGTGCCTCGAGAAACCAAAACAATCGTCGAGAAAGATAAACAACCAACCAAAATCAACAGCACAAACAACCAAACACCAGTTTTACGTGGTTCGGCAAGATGCCTACGTCCACGGGGCAAGGAGGGGGGAGTTTTCACTATTAGAAATCAAGAGGAACAAACTAGGGTTACAAATCTCTCATAAACCCTCAACAATCAACTCTCAATCTCTCCAATTGCTCCTAGAATAGAAGCCCAAAGAAAACTCTCTCAATCTGCTCAAATTCGTCCTTGCTCTTAACCCTAAAAAACACCCAAAGGGTATTTATACAAATCCAAAACGAAACGGGTCTGAAAACAGACCCAACTCAAAACCGCAGCGGCGGTCGACCGGTACGGTCGACCGCGATCCATCGCGGTCGACCGGACCGGTCGACCGCCCTCCATCCAGCAGCAAACCCAATGTCCAGAGAGGTCGTCGGTCGACCGACACGGTCGACCGCCCATAGATTCGGTCGACCGGATCGGTCGACCGCCACCAATCCTGAAGCCCAATAACTCCTGTGCACGAATGCGGTCGACCGGGCCGGTCGACCGCCACCCAATTCTGCTGAAACCCGAACTTTCTGCCAATTCTACAAGATCATGAGCTCAAACATATTCAACTAAATACTAGCCAAAGATTCGGAACAATACGAAAAGTCTCTTCAGATTACAACGATACAAATTATGAGGATTATAGACTTACATACTGTGATTTAAATTGTTACATTGACTCGAAATGATTAACTCTAGTCGAGTCATTAATCTAAAACATTTTAGTCACAATTTCAAAAAAAATTTAATGTTTTTAGTAGAATAGAACCACACGCAAGTACGAGTAGATACAAAACTCCTCTAAAAGTAAGCAATAACATTGAATTAATGTCAGCAAACAGATTGGTTCAACATAATACCACTTAATCTTCATCAAGGGATCGACATTGATTGATGATTTGACAAATTACCATACTGAACTTTATTCAGATGCAATGTATCAGGTAAATTATACGCACCCTTTGGACTAAACAATGAACTGATTTCTCCACGTAGTGGTAAATAAGATGATTATCAATGGATCCTGATCGAAAAGGACACACAAAAGTCCACAAATGCGAAAAAGAAAAGCGCAAAAAAAGGGGAGATTACTTGAGAATATTGATATCCTCTTCATCTTCCAATAGCGTATTAAAGATTGCAAATTTGCTGACATTATATATAGTGTCTTATATAATGATGAATGTATTTTTTTTAATACTAAATCGGATGGTCTTTCTCTTGTCTTCAAGTACTTGACTCATAGAGTAGGCTTTATGTGCAAAATTCACCTAAGAGAAGTTTGGCAAACCTTTTTTTTTCTCCCTTCGATCCACTTGGACTCCCTAGTGTGTTTGTCAACTCCTTGAAACGGGTCACATTTAATCTTGATTTAATCTTAGGCAGTGTTTGGCTGTTCAAAAGTGGATTAAAAATATGTAAGCTATTTTTTCTTGCAAATAATTTTCACCGCAAGTGAAATACAGTGTTTGTTTAATAAAAATAAAACTAGTGTTGAAAGTGCAAGTGGAGATGATGTGGCTGAATAGAATTAATTAGCAAATATAGTTCAAATCATCTAGTTAAAATTGGTTACCATATCTGTAACTTTTATGTGACTTCACCACTTTTTTAGAGGAAGTCAAAATTGCATTAAATTCTATGTGACAACTTTTTTACATTTAACTTCCACAACCACCTGAATGCAAACGAACACATAAATTGTTTATTAAGAAAAGTGATTCTCTTACTTTCATCTTTCACTTGCATGCAGACGAACATCCCCTTAAGGGAAAAATAATACATTAGAATAAAACTAGACCAATATTGGTCGTTTTTTTCTGAGACTAAATTTGCCCATTAAATTGATTTTGTTACTTTTGAACAATCTCTTCTCTGAAAGCAAAACAACATTAATTTAATTTAAAACAAGGCAATGACCTTCTTGGATCAAAACAAAACTCGTTTAGCTTAAAGCAAGGCCATAATCATTCCTAGCTAGCCCAATTTTAGAGTGGTTATCAAACACAACCTTTTGTCATGCTTAGAGTAAACTTTCTAGACTGTTTCTATTTACTCTTAAGAGTCAAAAGGCTAGATTACCAAATTAGTACCTTTTGTAACATCTCTTTTACCAGTTTGATAATTTTTCGTTGCTCCAGCATCTTTTTGGTATTAAAAGTCCACAAATTGTACTATTAGGCATTAATTTTCACTGTTTCAAAAAGGTATTAATTTTCACAGTTGGTGAAAATCTCACACAAAAGATGGAGAATTTGGTATTGATAACTGCTGTATCAGTTGCTTCTTTGTGGATAGGCCTTCAGCACAATTTGCTTGGCTCAAATTTCATGCACAGATCGCCAACAAAAAAAAGCCCCAAAACAAAAATCAAAGGAAAAAATAATCAAGCACAAGACCAAGATTTAATGATTTCCCACCAAAATCCCTTCTAAATTCTCACCCTCCTCAAAAAGACAAAGCAAAAAAATCTCACTTCCATGGCGACGTCAATCTCACCCCTCCACTCCTCCCTCTTCTCCTCTCCTTCGAAGCCCAAACCTTTCTTCAAGATTCTCGCCATGGCCCCTAAAAAGAAGGTAACTTCGCATTCAAGTCCAGTTTTTTTTTTTTTACTCAAGACCCCCTGACTCTCCTCTAAATAAAACCCCCACCCCTCAAAATCACAGGTCAACCGCTACGACGACAACTGGAAAAAACAGTGGTTTGGCGCCGGCCTCTTCGCCGAGGGCAGCGAAGACGTCAACGTCGACGTCGTCAGGAAACTCGAGCAGCGAAAAGTCCTAAGCGGAGTCGAAAAGGCCGGGCTTTTGTCGAAAGCGGAGAGCCTAGGGCTCACATTGTCCTCAATTGAGAAACTAGGGTTTTTCTCTAAAGCTGAAGAGCTTGGGTTGCTGAGCCTCGCTGAGACTGCTGCTGACGTGTCGCCTTCGACGTTGGCTTCGTTGTCGTTGCCGCTGTTGGTGATGGCGATCACTGCCGTTGGATTGTTCGTCGGGTCGATTGTGCTCGCGGGGTTGCAGGAATCGGATTGAAGGAAGGAACGCGTGTAAGGTATCTGATGAAATGTTTGATTTTTGTTTGATTACTGTACGTTTCGTATGTTATGTCGGTATTTTTTTCTTGAATAATTTCTTGGTGCGTTGTTGATTTATCTGTAGAGTTCGCTCTCGCTCTTGTGCGCAATTATGAGTAGATGGTCCGAAAATGTTTCGATTTTTGTGAGTATATGGGTCTCTTATACTGTTGTAGATTAACTTACGAGAGCATTCTCAAAATTGCAAACCCATCATTTTGTTGTAACCTCAGGATACAATTTTGTTTGTATGGAAATTTTATAGAGTTGCCAACAACTATGGGAATTTTGGTCTTAGAATTTCTTTATTGCATAATTAGCATAGAAGCTAATTAGAGCATTCAATATATTGGAAATAAGGTGTTTGTGAACAGAAGACTAAACACGCGGTCCTCTGATTATCATTATCGTTTTATGACAATCAAGAATTGGTTTTTTGGATCCTAAAGTGATGTGGTTTCGTAGAGATCTTCCAACTTAGAAGACCAAGCTTTAGTTACCATGAGCTGATTCAAGTCCATGTGATCTTCTAAAGAAAAATGCGGTTCTAGCGATGGCAACTGTAATCAGCATCCATCGACGACTGAGTTTCTGTGGCAGTGTGGAGAGTCTAACTCGAGAAGGATTGATCAGATCAATGCATAGAGGACATCCTTATTTAACTCGGTCCTATTTTTTAAATATAGAACAAACTAATGCGAGTTCTACTTTTGTATATGAATATGTTCTCAGTACTCTTTGAGCAGATATCGACATTCCTCTTATTTTCATTATATCACCATTCAAGCTTTTCTGCATCAAAGTAAAATCAGTGGAAAAAACAGATCATCAAGGCTTATTATTGTTGTTTTAACATCACTTACAACTATGTATTCCTTAATTTCCTATAGTTACCATCTTGAAGATGTGCACCTTTTGTTGCGATTAATTTCTTGGTGACATCTCTCATGCATTCGGTTGCTGGGCATTTCTTTAGTGCATACGAGCCCAATTCTAAGCACAGAAGCTAAGCATGCATTTAAATTTCCTCTGATTATTTTGCTTCTAGTCCTTTTATTATGATAGTCCTATATTCTTTCTTTCTTTTTTACATGTTGTTTGTCAATTAACTCCGCTTAGTGCTATGTATACTTTCAGCACTGCTTGTCCCAAGCCAAGATAAAGGAGGAGGGTTGTGTTAGGTAGCCGACAGCTAGCGTAAAACATAGTCGGGTCCACATGAAAAATGAATCATATTATATACTCGTTGGGGCGTCCCACAACGACGCGTTGCATCGATGTCATCTCGATGCAATGATAAGTAAGCAATGGTGGTTTGCTAGGTTTGCTAGGGCGTCCCTCGGAAGCAACGCATTACATCGATGTCACCCCGGTGTAATGACAAGTAAGCAATTGTTCTAAGAATCTACAACCTCTAATAAGTTACATAATAGTATTAGGCATAAGCTAGAACGGTCTAAGAGAAAAAATGGTAGAAGACTTTTACAAGAAAATAGAATTAGAGTGGCTACTTGAAATATAGGTACACTTACCGGAAAGACTATAGAATTAGTGGATGTCATGCTTAGAAGAAAGATAAATATAATTTGTTTATAAGAAACTAAATGAATAGGTAAAAAATCTAGAGAAATTAAAAAGACCGAATGTAAACTTTGGTACACGGGAAAAGAGAAGAATAGGAATGGAGTAGCCGAGTAGGTGTTTTGTAGATAATATAATAAAAGAAAGTATTGTAGAGGTAAGAAGTATTGGAGATTAAATAAACTAATAAAAATTGTCTTAGGCGTAGAGGTTATTAATATTATTAGTACTTACGTGCCACAAATAGGCTTGTCCGAGAATACTAAAAGGAAATTTTGGGATAGATTAGATGAATTAGTACAAGGAGTCCCATTTGAAGAGATTATTTATAGGAGGAGATCTTAATGGGCATGTTAGTAAGGATAATAACGGATATGAGAGGATACATGGAGGTTTCGGGTATGAAGATAAGAACGATATGGGTAAATCAATTTTAGAGTTTGTAATATTGTATGACTTGATAATAGCAAATACACTTTTCAGAAAAAGGGATGAACACGTAATAACATTTAAAAGTGGTTTTAATAATAGTCAAATAGACTTTTTTCTTACTAGAATGGCGGATAGGTTAATATGCAAAGATTGTAAAGTTATACCAGGAGAGTGTTTAAGTACACAATATAGATTGTTGGTCTTAGACATATCTATTAAGAAGTGGAGTAGAAAAACTAACGTGAACAAGAGACTAAGAACTAAATGGTGGAATTTAAAAGGAGAGAATTTAATACATTTTAAAGATAAAATAATGAAAGAAGATATATGAAACATAGATAATGAGACTAATATTATATGGAATAGCATGTCTTCTTATATTAGGAAAGTTGCTAAAGATATACTAGGAGATTCTAAAGGTTGTAGATTAGATGGTAAGAAGAGTTGGTGGTGGAATGAGAGTGTGCAAAAGGTTATTAGAGAGAAGAAAACTTTATATAAATAGTAGCAAAAGTGTAGGAGTAGAGAAAATTTAGAAAAATATAAACTAGTAAGGAAATAAGCAAAAAGAGTGGTTAATGAGAATAAATACAATGTTTATGAAAAATTTTATAAGAAGTTAGAACCTAAGGGGGGAGAGAGAGAGAGAGATAAGTTTGCTAAGATTAGAGAAAGGAAGAGTAGAGATTTGAGTAATATTAAATGTATTAAAAGTGAGGATCAAAGAGTTCTAGTGACCGACGAAAAAATAAAAGAGAGGTGGAGGAGTTACTTTTATCAATTGTTTAATTATAACCAAACAAGTGGGGCAAAATAGAGATTTAGTGAATAATAGGAACTATAAATATTGTCGAAAAATTAGGATTAACGAGGTTAAAGATGCTTTAAAGAAAATAAAAAGTGAAAGAGCCGTAGACCGGACGATATCCCTATTGAAGTTTAGAAATATCTTGGAGATATAGGCTTACGATGGTTAACTAAACTATTTAATAAGATTATCGAGACAAAAAGAATCCCGAATAAGTGGAGGATTAGTACTTTGATACTGATATATAAGAATAAAGGGGATATACAAAGTTGATTAAATTATTAAGGTATAAAACTCGTGAGTCATACTATAAAACTTTGGGAGAGAGTAATTGAGCAAAGACTAAGAAAAGAGACAAATATATCTAAAAATTAATTTGATTTTATGCTTGGGATGTCAACTATGGAACATATACATATTTTAGACAATTGATGGAGAGATATATAGAGAGAAATGATCTACATATGGTTTTTATCGATCTAGAAATACGTTATGATAGAGTGCCTAGAGAGGTAATGTGGTGGGTGTTAGAAAAAATATATATATCTAGTATATATATTGATGTGATTAAATATATGTATGATAGAGTAACAACTAGAGTAAGAACTAATGAATGAGAGACTAAACCATTTCCTATTACCATAAGTTTACCCCAAGAGTCAGCTTTAAGTCCTTATCTTTTTACATTAGTTATAGACCAACTTACTAAGCACATGCATGATAAAATCCTATGGTGCATGTTATTTACCGATGATATAGTATTAGTTGATAAAACTAGAAGAGAGATTATTTCTAATGTAGAAAGATGGAGACAAGCTCTTGAATCTAAAGAGTTTAGAATTAGTAGAACAAAAACAGAATATATTGAGTGCATTTTTAGTAAAACTAGGAAAGGAAGAGATCCTATGGTACATATTGATGGTCAATAAATACCTAAAACTAATCATTTTCGCTATTAAGGATCAATCATTAGGCATGATGGTAAGATAGAGGATGATGTTGTGCATCGAACAAATCGAGATGGTTGAAATGGAGGAGTGCTTCAGGAATCTTATGTGATCGTTGAATACCAATAAAACTAAATGAAAAATTTTATAAGATGGTTATAAGACCAACTATGCTTTATGGCTTAGAGTGTTGGGCAATTAAAAAACATGTTTAAAAAATGAGTGTAGCAGAAATGAGAATGTTGCCATGGTTTTTCTGGATATACATTAAAACATAGGATAAGAAATGAGTACATCCATAGTAAATTAGAGGTTGCGCCTATTAAGGATAAAATGAGAGAGAATAGATTAAGATAGTTTGGTCATGTACAATGGAGACCCCTTACTGCACCGATTAGAAAAAGCAATAATATTAGAGTTAATGGTGCTAGAAGATCTAGAGGTAGACCTAGAATGATTTAGTTAGAAGCAATTAAGAAGGATATGATTAAGACTAATTTAACGAATGAAATGCCCATAACAGAAAGGAATGGAAACATAGGATTCATGTAGCTGACTCCAAATATTTTGTATAAAAGCTTGGTTGTTGTTGTTGTTGTTGTCGTATGTTGTTTGTCGATTGTCCTACTCATAGTTCTGTATGATAACCTTTAACGACTTGGGTTTGACAGCAAAAGACTCGCATATGTTAGTAATATCTTGGAGAGCTCATTGTGGGGACGGTGACATGGTTGGAGAGCTAGGGTTTTCGAGTGGCCGAAGACAAATTCTATGTTATTTGTTGGGGGGAATTTGCAAAATAGTTCGTTTTTGCTAATTATTTAGCAAAATAGACCGTTTTGTTAAATAATTAGCAAAATAGAACTCTTTTTGGCCAACAGGCCAAAAAGATGTCTATTTTGCAAAACAACTCAGAAAACATACGGGACTAGTAGTCCCGTATATTTTAATCACGGATTAGTGAATTCAAAAAATTTCACAAAACATTGAGATGAACTCAGAAAACATACGGGACTAGTAGTCCCATATGTTTTCTGAATCACTAATCCGTGATTAAGTTGGCTCTAAACATACGGGACTAGTAGTCCCGTATGTTTTCTGAGTCTTGTTTTTCAAAATCGACCTCTTTTTTTTCAAAAGAGATCTATTTTGCTAATTATTTAGCAAAACGGTCTATTTTTCTAAATAATTAGCAAAAAACGGACTATTTTGCAAATTTTCCCTATTTGTTGTGTTTAAATGTTTGTCGAAACCCTTCAAGGTTTTTTTTTTTTTTTTACATGCGGTGATTGCTGTTCTTCACATATTCTGGAGCGTGAACTGTGCGATTTTTACGATGGAAATACTGAAGACCAATGTTGAAAATGCTAGGCTTTATGGTGGTTGTTATAGCTGTCTTCGTGGTTTGATTTTTATTCTGCTCACCGTCAGATTCAGATCAGTTGGCGGCCAGACAAACTAGTGAGGGTTTCTTTGTGTTGTGAATCTTGTGATGTTTATTCAAAATCTCTGATGCGAGGTGACACGTTTTTAATTTAGCAGTGCTCTATTTCTTATGGAGAAAAAGTTTCAATGCGCTTTGATCGATATCCTAAAATTTCCATCCAGTTTTAGCTTTGATATTCTGAAGTTTAAATTTGTCGAAATGATACGCTTGAAGTTTTTAAGCTATACCCCATTAACTTCACGAAGAGGGGATAAATTACTAAATACCCTTTTTTATTTTTCAAGTTTTTATTTGCAATGTAGGATTTTCTTTCCAATTTTCTCTATTGCTCCAACGTATAATTCCTAAATTAGCTCCAAATTCGAGGCGAACATGTAGTTAATTTCTGTCGGTTTTTAGTTAGTATGTTGAATTGTGATTCATGTGTATGTATCTGAGAAAAGAAAACATTATCTTCATTGTAAATTTGATTAAAAAAACCACTCATAATCATAATAATAGCAGATGTAACGTGAATGAGAAAGTTTTTCTCATCAAAATTTACTACACTTTTTAAAGAAGGTTAAGAATGGACTGGGGTTTATGTTTTATAAAGGGCATGTTTAGCAACCTTCCATCATGGAACCAAGTTTGCACTTGGTCTCATTTGGGAAGTGTTTATGTTAGAAAGTTGATATGTAATTTGGGAGAGGTTAAACTCGGTTTCTGCATTCCTTAATTGCTTTTGATAGTTAATCTTCTGCTGAGGATCTTGAAACTATACTTTGTTGCACAAGTAACAAAGGTTAGAGGTGGATCCCTCCGGCGTGCCCTCCGACACTCAAGTCATGTTTCTAGTTAATCTGAAGAGAAAAACAAAGTCTAGGCTTATTGACTTTTGGTGTATGATATTGCGTACCGTGGGTTGATGGAAATCGCCATTATTGATAGAGGGTTCATAGAGGCACGTTGGTAAATTTCGCCGAGTATGTGCAATTCTGGTTCAGACCAACTTTACATGTGCCTGCAGTTAATTGGTCGTGTCGCCTTTATACAATGATGGGATTGTTGGAGTAAAGGCATGTCCGAGGAGCTTTGAAGGCTCTTGCCGTTAGTAAGGTCATTAAGGCTGGCCGGAATTATTTGTTGACAGTGACAAGGCGGCGAAATGCGGACACTGACTGTATGTTCATTAAATGCAGTGTAACTTTTGATCAATGCTTGTCAGGTCGTTTCATTGTTTTAGACGTGTTGTATTAGGTCCAAGTGGAGAGTCATCTAACAGAGTCTGGATCAGAAGCGCCTTTCGTCTTGGATTTGGATCACAAGGTAGGTCAGTTGACTTATCACCCCGCTTACGCTTGCAGATGCCCGGGGAGTCGGCCAGTTACATAGCAACTCTCATTGGGTTTGATAATTTTCAAGGTATAACAGGAAGAAACTTGTTCGCCCAGTTTTCCAAAGCAAAAAAAAAGGTCTAAAATTGGGTTTTTTTTAATTTACCCTCCTTTAGATCAAAATGGAATCAGTTTACTTCTAAACTTGGCCATTCCTGGTTTAGTTTTGAGGAGCTCGTCAAACATGCGGGCTCTACATTAAATAGATTAAGTAGAGAGCAAGCATTTCTTGGGGGATCCTTTTAGACCAAGGGTTATAAAGGTCAAAAGAAGTATCATGTGACAGCTACTTGATAACTTTAAAACGAAGTTTTTAACGGTCATAAAATGGAAGGTAACTAAAGTGTAATATTGCTGGAACTTTGTGGTATAATCTGCTCAAATTTGAACTTCAAGATATCAATTGTAACAATGTACGAAACTTCATGTTATTAACATGCAATTAACCCAAAAAAAATCCTATAGAGATCCTCTATAGAAAGTAATGCGAAAAAGAAATAAAAGGCGATTCTCCTACTATAAATTTAAATTTATGTAAATAATAAATATGAGTTCAGACTAGGGGTGTTAACGGAGCGGAAACGGCTCGGATATGGTACTTATCATATCCATATCCGCTTACCTATCTTGGATACGGATACGGTTACGGATATACATCGGTAAGAAAAATTCATATCCATATCCACTAAAATCGGATACGGTTTCGGATATAGATGCGGATATATAAACGGATTTGCATGCGGATACAAAAAGAATATGAGAAAACTAGATAGTATTCAGAAAAATATAGTCAAGTGATACAAAAAGAGTTTGTTAATATGTTCATTATGATTGAAAAGCTAAGATTAGACATCTTGATCATGAAAATTAACCACAAATCCATAATCTAATAATCGAAACTATCGTAAGAGTATGACCAATATGTATTCGGATATTTTCGGATATGAATACGGATATTTCACTACAAAACCATATCCGTAACCATATCCTATCGGTTATAGATTTGAGTAACCATATTCGTATCCTAACGGATACAGTTACGAATATTTCCTCCGATACTGATACAGTTTGGCACCCCTAGTTTAGACGGTTAAAGTAACAACGCGAACACAATGTTGGTCCGGTACAAACAACAGCAGATAAGGGCAATCGACAACTTCAAAGATGGTAGCATGCACAAGTCTCGCTCACTCCTTCTGAGTATCATGCGAACACAATGTTGAGCCGGTGTTAAATAACACATAAATACGTGTAATCGACAACTTCAACGTTGGTAGCACGCACAAGTTTTGCACACTCCTTGTGAGTATCATGCGTCCCCTGTAGAAAAGTTTATTGGAGATGTTTTGAATTAGTGAAATTTTCAAGTTCTAACTACATGCTTGAGAAATTTTTAACTACAATTCAATTTTTTTTCTTTTCCTAAGAAAAAAAGGACTCTCATTTTCGCATGCAATAAAAAAGATCGGCGTCCAAGCCAATAGAACCCAAAAGCCAGCGCTCACGTCACGTCTCTAGCGTATTTCAGAAATGTAACAGAACTTGATACCAAAGTTTGTTCTTTTTCCATCTTTTTCGAACAAAAATATTTTCATTAATAGAAATTAAACCACATTCATGACTTTTGTCTTTTTTAATTTTTCCTTTTCTTTCCTAAATCGTCTTCGAACACTGAAACGGCGTGATCCTGCGTCCTTATATAAACAAAATGTCAGGCCTTTATTCATTCGCATTTCAAAACGAACAAATGAAGTGAGAAATGAGTGGTAATTCTTCTTCCGACGATCGCCAGGCGGTGAGCGTACCGCCTCAGTGGGAGGCGGGCCACCCGTTATCGTTGTTTGCGGGCCCGGTAACAGCGGCAAGTCTTTGTTCTCTCGCACTCTCCTCAATACTCTCTTGAAGAGGTAAATTTTGCAATTTTGTGATAGAATTTTCGAATTTGCTCACTGGGTTTTGTTCTTCTTGATGAAAACTTTATGGGATTGTGATAAAACTAGAAATGGGTTCATCAAGATCGTTATAGAATGTAAATTTGTTGGTGGGTTTAAATAAATTTATAAAAAAAAACCTTTGTTTGGGTGAAATTCAATTTTGACGCGCTATTCTGCTTTTTTGCTTCTTTATAGTTAAATTGGTTAAAAAAATTTCACATTTTGCTGTTTAATCAAGTGGGCTTTTTCACAGTGCTCAAGGTTTGCTCTGTTTAATTTTCCTTCTTTAGTGTTAGTGGGATTGTAAATTCTTTGATATTAATCCTTCACATCTTTATATTTTGATATCAGTCCCTCAAATCTTATAAATATGTTGAAATTATTCCCCCTATTTAGGGGCTGTTTGATCTTGGAAACTTCAGAAAATCCCAAAGTCTTATGCAAATCCTCCATAGTTCAAGGGGGGTTTGTGAAATTTACTCTTTTTCCTGGACAATGCTCATGATCACGACATTTTTCTTGGTTAATGTCGTTTTCTAAAATTAAAATTGTATTTTCATTCAACCACATGTGTTTCTCAGATATACTAAAATCAGGTCCACTCATCATTTATTAGTTCGATCAAGTTAACATTGGTTCCAATATATGTATATGAATTTTGTAATAGAGACATAAACTCTACTCTTTTAGAGACTATGTTGGCGCCTGTGACTAAATTTGGAATAATATAGATAAATCTGTTAGAGAGCTAAAGTGCTATATTTTAAAACTTTTTTAAGTTTAGTTGCTGTACGCTTATGGAAAATTGTGCTTAAAGCAATATTTGACTTACTCCGGTGCAATGATCCCAATGCCAAATTGCTTTCACGAACAGCAAAACAGTACACTGGTGTGCACCGATCAAGTACTGTCAAGATCCCTCGATCTACAAGATCTTTTGGTCAAGGCAAAGATCTCCTCGATCTGTAATAATCTTTCGGTTCAAAACCTTTCGGTTCAAGTAAAGATCTCCTTGATCTGTTAAAACCTTTCGGTTCAGACAAAGATCTTTTGATCTGTAATAAGCTTTCGATTCAAGGCTATGTTCCTTCGGGCACAGACTAAAGCTTACACGCTTTCAAACTCTGTAGCAGCAGCACAACAACTTAAACACTTCAATGTGTTTTTTCGTATATATCTTAGAGCTGCTCCAAGATGCTCTATTTATAGGCCTCTGAGGTCATCTCAATTGTCATTTGACTGTTACAAATCATAATGACAATTATGATTGTAACAGCAAATGACTTAATTGTTATAACTGATGCATGTAATTTTAATTGTTGCATGTAGAAACGTCTGAACGCGAGGGTCGCTTTTCTATGTAAGGCGAGGGTCGCTTTTCTATGCAACGCGAGGGTCGCTACCAGCCCCGCGCGAACGCGAATGTGAACTCGAGGGCCACGTTCCCTCTTGCGAACGCGAGGGTCGCGTTCCCTCTCGCGAACACGAGGCTTACCCAAGCTGCGAACGCGAGGCTCGCATGCTGCGAAGCAGCCTGCGTAGCGCCACCTAGCCCCAATGCCTCCGTGCGAAGTGCAAAGTGCGCCTTACAAAACGCCACTTAGCGCCTCAACCCGATTAGCCTCAATCCTCGGCCCATTGGCCTACGGCTCATGGGCCATGGCCCACGACCCACTAGAACTTATGAGGGATTAATTGAATAAAAACAATTCTCAGCTTACCGTTGGCAAGCCTCGAACACATGATATTTTGTAACACCAAAACTTTAACTTTCCACTACGCTACTAAGAATTTCTGAAAAATACCAGTAATTAATAAATACATAGTTTGAAAACTCATTTTTGAAAAGCGGTTTTGACCAAAAAATCCAACAGATTATTCAATCATGTTCTTGAATTTGTCAAAAACTTATAATCGTTTTTTAGTACTACATCGGTGCTTGTTATTATCCCTTTTGGGATTTAGATACAGTAAATTGCATCCTACGTGTGTATTTTATCAACATAGATTTAATGTATGTTATGTTCATACTTTGATATTTCATCAATATAGGAAATTTTTTGTAGGTACAAGAAGGTAGGCTATTTGGATACAGATGTGGGTCAGCCGGAGTTCAATACTCCTGGTTGTGTCTCCCTTCACATAATCGATAAGCCAACACATGGTATTGTTCTTTTGAATTGAATTCGGATTATTTCTCTTTATTTTTCTCTGCAGATATTTTTCTTTCTCACTTAAAAATTTTTAGTTACTAGTCTATATCAACTGCTGAGGATCTTTTTGTTTTCACAATTCTTTGCAGACCTCACAATTCTCTGCTTGAAGACTCCAGAGAAGTAGGTTCTCTTATTTCAATCCCTTATAGCGACTCATACCATGAGTGAATTATCCAAAATAAAATAAAATTCTAGGAATGTAATATTTCTTACCACCGTGGAAATTTTAATATATCAGAATAAGCTGCATGAATTCAGAAGCAACACTTCTCTAAAATTAGGAGGAAGTGAAAAAGATTAAAGGGGAAACTCAAAGTACAATCACCTTCATTACCCCTAGTGGCGTAGCTAGGAATTTTTTTTGCCCTGGGCGAAAAAATAATTCTGGCTGACGATGAATCCCAAGGCGCAAATATCAACGAAGGAGATGCCTCGTCCTCCTACTCCTTCATCGTCGGAGTCGGCACAAAACCTAGTTTTGAGCGAGGAAGCGAGGAGAAGCTCATCGAGCTCGGCCGTCGAGGGGCTTCCTTTTGTCCATACGCCGATGTTGGCTACGTCACTGCTCTAGAGATGCGCATGTATTAAACATTTTGCACCAATTAAACTAAGGGGGTCTATATCCTACGTCACTGCTCTAGAGATGCGCATGTATTAAACATTTTGCACCAATTAAACTAAGGGGGTCTATATCCACAACAAGTAAACTAAGGGGGTCTATATATATTTTCACATTCTTGCCCTGGGCAGCTGCCCAGGGCAAGTTGCTTGTGGCTCCGCCTCTTACCCCTCAACAGCTCTCCAATCTGTACATGCTTGCATTGCTTTTATTAAACTACTTGTTGATTCCTACTCTTAATATACAGCTAATGCTGCATATCAGGTGCTTCTTCTATGGTGATGTAAATTGCCAGAAGGACAAAAATGTTTATCTGAATAGTATCCTCAGTCTATATGATTATTTTCATGAGGAGTTTTATCAACCTAATGAGATTAATGATCCTGGGAGAAAAATGATGCCTCTTGTAGTGAACACATCGGGATGGGTGAAAGGTATACTTCCATGTTCACCACTGACTTTAACAGCTTCTCTACAGTAACTCTTGGAGAGTTAAAATGCCCTTCTAACTTCAACTTGAATTTCCTCTGGTTTAGGTGCTGGCTATGATCTCTTGGTGAAAATGCTGAGGCACATATCTCCAACTCACGTAGTTCAAATTCGCGTCTCTGCAGAGAGCAAAAATCTACCCAAAGGGTTGTTTTGGTTGGATGAGAATCACCAGAGATCGAGTAACTCAATTGAAATTTGTGCTGCAGTAAAGGACTCTTCTAGGTAAACTTTCTGTTGAAGAATCTATGTTATTTATGAAATATTGATCTTATGCAAAAAAATTCAGTACTGATTATGTTCTTCTTTTTAGTGTGTCAATGCGCAAGGATGCTGCACATGTTCTCAGAGACGTTCGTATAATTGCATACTTTAGGCAGTGTCTTCCACAAGAGCTAGCCATTGCAACATACAAAGATCTTGTTCGTAATTTGGCTTCTGCTCCTGCTCATGAAATCTCTCTTTCAAGAATCAGAGTTATTGAACTCCACTGTGAGGGCAATGATAACATTTCTCACAGTTTGAAAGCTAAGATTGTTGGCTTAGGAATCAGTACTTCAGTCCCTCCTTCGCCTGCGAACGCCTCATCGAATTGTGTTGGACTTGGTACATGCTACTCTATTATCTTCTCCTCTTATATCAGCATTGCGAATTTTGAGTTAATTTTCCGAAAATTGTTTGTAAGATATATATTTCTGATGTCGATATCAACAGGATTTGTCAGAGCTGAAGATGTTTCGAAGGATCTAATGTATGTTATTACGCCTGTGCCCCTTCGCATTCTGGAGAAGGTGGACATTATTTTAAAAGGTTGTATCGAAGCTCCTGCTTGTTTATTACAGGTGAATCCCCTTCTTAGCTTTTGTATCGCTTGTGTTTCTTCTAAATATAGTTTGCTCACATGAAGTCCTTCTCTTAGGTACAAGAAATAGATGCCACTGATAGCTAGAAGAGAGAAATAAGTTTCCATCTCCTCTCTACTTAGCAAAAGCATCAAGATTGCAAGGGAAAATGAATACGGAATGAAAGAAGAAAAGATCACAGAGAAATTGGTTTGCACTAGTTTTAGGTTATACCTACCAGGAGAGAAGTCTCTTTGCTTTAGATTCCTGGAATTATTCGAACTTGCAATATTTCTATTTCAAGATGTTTCTGCATTAGTCAAAGTGATGACATTGTTTCCACTTCTTTTCATCTCTCTCAATATAAATATAATTGCTTTTTATAGAAAACTTGGATCTAAAACACCTCAACTATAAACAATAAACATTAAACTACAAATAGAAAATGAAGAGATTGCTGGAATCATAGTCCCCGGCAAACAAGAATTGAAATAAAAATGTTCTGAAATGTAATAGGGCTGCACTCTAATCTCAGTACATAGAATACAAACTTCCCAACATACAAAATTTAGCAGACAAGACCAAGCCAATAAATATAAGTTATGTCAATAATCATACAAGCCCTCGACTACGACAAAAGCTTATTTCTAGATCACAATTCCACAAATCATTCAATAATCATACAAGCCCTCGACTACGACAAAAGCTTATTTCTAGATCACAATTCCACAAATCATTATGACTGCACAAATACTACAATCCATGGAAACAAAAAGCTTATTTCTAGATCACAATTCCACAAATCATTATGACTGCACAAATACTACAATCCATGGAAACAGCACTTACAGCTTTTTGGAATACCATAGCAGCCTCCAGCATACTGCCTATATTCATTGCCGAGCAATCTCCTTCCATTGCTGTACTCCTTGCTGTCTCCTTGCCTTTTTGCTCATTTGCTTGATTAATGACTAGCGGCGCTAAGATTACCGTGGCATCGGTTAGAAACACTAGTAAAAGTGGTCTAAAGCTGGTTATGCTTCCTAGAGCATTAATCCCCAATGAATAGCCATGATATGATAAAACCACCAACAGGGCTATAATAACTGAACAAACAAGTCGAATATTCTCTGAAGCAGAGATTGAGACGCTGATTCTTCTTGGTGTGAAGATTGTGTGGCTCATTTTTGGTGCAGCGTCTGTAGTTCGATCACTTCCTTCAACTGATAATCTAGTGACAGCTGAAGTTGTCGGTGACACTGCACCATGTTGATTTTTTGTCTCGTGTTTCACAGATTCTTCAATCTCGTAATTAGATATTTCATCGCTTGACTCAGTTTTAGGTTGCACTCTAGAGATTTCATTGCTTTCCTGACTTTTGGTTGTTACAGAACCTGCGACATCCTCAGCAAGGAAAGTACCTGTAACATACCCAAGTTTTCCAATGAGCTTAAGCAAGCATAATCTTTGACAAGAAATTTATTAGTCTACCAAATGCATACTCGGATCTTAATGCAGCAACAAGCCTTTCTCTGAGACTCTTGTTTCCATCGACTCTGTCTCAAAATAACAACTACCGTATCATTTTTAATTGCTTCTAGGTCCTAGCAAATAATCTTCAATTGAAACAGCATTTTAACTTCTTACAAGTACATTCATGTCTTACCCTATTTCTTAGCATGTTACCACACATCCATCTCAGAATTCCTTCTTTCTAGATTCTTTCGACATGTTCTTTCTTAACCATCCAAATCATTTAATTTCATAGGTCTTTTACGATCAGAAATTTCAGAACAATCTGTAGCATTTCAGGGATTTGAGGGGTTTTAATTGCTATTATGAAGAATAGCCCATGGATCTACTGATTAAAACAATTAAAACTATGTAGTAACCATTAAAACAATGAGACGTTAAACAAAACGTTGTCTCTGAAACTCCATGTTGGTGATTGACAAAACCTTCATGATCATTAGTCTTGGCAAAACCTTACATGATCATTAGTCATAACTTCATCGCTAGTAGTGACAGGCTAATTTTTAATCAAAGTCATACAATACATCCAAGGATATCAAAGTAAATTAAAACTATGTACTAACATAAATTTGTAAAAGGAATATATCACAATGCATTTCCATTACAAACAAATGCTCTAGAAAAGGATTATCTGAACTTCAAAACCCCAAATTGTATACCATTTTTTTTAACTTTGACACCCCATGGTTTTTTCCAACATTCTGACACTTTGATACCCTAAAATTTACGCATTTTTAAACTTTGATACTCTAAAATTTTATTTTTGACACTTTACGTCGTGTAAAGTTTTGGGGTATCAAAGTGTCAGAAAAAGCTTTGGGGTATCAAAGACAACAAAAAGTGTAAACTTTGAGCTATCGAAGTGCCAAATAAAAATTTGGGCCATCAAAGTTTAACAAGATGTAAACTTATGGGTACCAAAATGCAAGTAAACCCTTCAGAAAATGAGCAAGGGAAAAGCACAAGACCCCTCGTGCAGCAGCATATCCTATTAGCTAAGGCACTATGAATCAGAGTGGATTATTTTTTTCTTCTTCCTCGAGAATTGAGGATTTATCGCACAATATGGAAAGTGGACTTCCACCTCATTGATTTTCACTTGACAAAATTTTGACTTTGTAGTAAAACATCCTCCCCTTTTGTCTGGGTTCTGGTTTCAGTCAGTTATGGGTGACAAATTTTAAGATGAAGTCAAACAAAGAAAAATTGCAAAGCTAAATGTAACCTGCGGTGCACGCGAATGGTTCAATTTCTCATTGGATGGCCAAGAATTACCATGTCTGCATCAAAGTTTGTTTCTTTATTACCTGTATCATTTTCTGACCACCAAAAGTTTCAATTTCACTCGGGTATTCTACAATCACATAAGACGCTAATTCTCCAAATAATTCCGCACTAACTAATCATCCAATTGTTTCCCTTACTTCTCTCAGCAATAATTCGTATAACAATAGCATGGATTAGAGTAGTAAGCCTAGAAATTTGTGATTGGGGATTGGGGGGAAAAGGGGGAGGGAAAACATTTTTAGGGGTAATTACCGGCAGGTGGCGGTGAAGCATCCTCCATCCTCTACTCTCTCTCTCTCTCTCTCTCTCTCTCAATAGATTTGTTCGATCTCGTTGCCCTGCAGTTCCCTTGACATCTGATGTGGGGTTACGTGGCATGGGTCCGGGTCGGATCATACGAAACTCCGATCGGCAAGCGGTTGGGTTTCTCTTGGGCCTGCGGGCACACTCTGTGAGCTAGACGGGTTAAGGCCACGCCTTCCCCCAAAAAAAAACAAAGGAACAAAATTAATATTTAATAACATTTTTAATAAGGCTATATGTGAGAAACCTCTCAACTTTGGGCTATTACTCAATAACCTCCCATAACTTTGAAAATAGGACAAAATCTCACCTAAGTTAAGGGCTCAGAGCACCCCTTTTAAGTTTGAGATTTCATCATAAAACCCTCCTAGCGGCGCGAATCGAATTTTTACTTGCAAAAACATCTCTCTGCCTAATTGTACTTGCTCGCGCAAATTTTGTGTTTTTTTAGCCTATTTGGAGGATATTCTGATAAAATAAACTTAAAGGGATCTTTCTATTAACCCCTAAATTTTAGAGGGGCTACGTTTTTTTTTCTCTCTCTTTTTTTTGGGGGGGAGGGGGGTGCGGGGATTGCTTCGAACATTTTGAAAGTTATAGGAGGTAATTTGATAATAGTTCAAAGGTAAGTGGGGTTTTTTGTGATATTTACCCAACTTTTAACTCATAAGGGTTGTTATCATGCATGTTATTATAGGAGCTATCATTTTTGGCTGGTTATGTTTGTGTGAATGACTCTTTAAAATGTGAGCAAGCAAGCAAACAAACAAACAATGTACATCATTGTATGAGGAGCGAACATATTAGGAACTTTCCTAATTTACAAGTTGTCAAATATGTTTGGCAACTTACTTATTTTTTCTTATAAGTATTTTATTTATTAGGTATATGGTGTTTGGTAAGGATTACTTATTTTACTTATTTGTTACTTATAAGTAGAGAGAAAATAAGTTAGATTTTCCCAACTTATTTTTTCTCTATTTATAAAGAACTTTCCTTATTTAGGCCAAAAGACGGGAAAAAACTCTCTCATTCCCTTTACTTAGTTAAATATTTTCTTATAAACTGATTAGTATTATTAATTAATTAGTTAATTAATTTATTAATCATTGACTAATTTATTTATTTATTAATAATTACGTATTAATACTTAATAATTGATCAATTATTTATTAACAATTAATTAGTTAACAAATTTGTTAATAATTTTTTTATTAATATAAAATTAACTAATCTCGATATTAGTAACTAATAATCACAAATGATATGTCATATATAAAAATATTTATTTAGAATAATACTAGTATGGATTTAATTACTAAATCTCGATATTAGTAATTAATAATTAAAAATAATTTAATCTATAAAAATATTTTAATCAAATATATTTCTTATTATGAGATAATTAATTTATAATTAATTAATTAATTAATTAATTTTATTAATAATGCTATTTCATTAGAATGAAATTAATTACATAATATAAATATTGAAATAATTAAATTTAAATCAACTATTTTTTAATTAATAAATAAATTTAATATTACTAATTATCTGGTTAATATAAAATGAATTAATTAGTCACAATATAGAGTTACAATAATATGTTTTTAAGTCATTTTTTATTTAACACAAGTTTTTTAATTATTAGTTTGCGAAACACATAACTACTTATATATTCTTATAAGTTGGGTTTATCAAACAACTTTCTTATTTTTTCCTACATTCTTATAAAGAGCTTTGATGATAAGTAACGACATCACTTCATGAAACATACAAGTTGAGAAGTTAAAACCTGGCATCATCAATAATTTGGAAGAAATTAAGAAGGGAAAATACCGGTAGAGAGAACGCCTTGAATTTCATTTTTGTTAGACCCAATTCTTAACCTTATTATTATTGTTTTTTAATCACGAGCTATTGTCTTGATAAAGACCAGCATTTGCTAGTGTCCAAAGTGTACATGCACGTGGTCGAGATACGTATATTTTGTGATGGATAAGTTTTAAGAACGCCACTTGCAACTTTATGCTCAGTCGGGGCCGAAAGAGAAAAAAATTTGAAGCGTAGTTCCAGGCTTTCTTGTTTTTTTTTTTTTTTTTTTTTTTTTGTTTTTTTTTTTTTTTTTTTTTTGTGTAAATGCTGAGTATTTCCGTGACAATTTATATAAACTAAGTCATTCGGAAACTTATTAACGTATGATAAGCTTGGCACGGAAACCAACCCAAAATCTATTGTTGCTAAAACCGCTTATTGGAGCTTGCGACCGGTGGATCTGGCATATAACTCCTCACAGTAGGGTTGCAAACGGTCCCACTTAAACTACGGTCGTATCCGGTTACTTATTAAGCTGTTTGGTTCCTTTTTTTTGGGTGGTAAATGTGGGGAAAGCTGCAAAAAATGTCAGCTTTTTGGCAGCTTTCCACCAAAATCAGCTCTTTAAAAGAATATTAAAAGAAAGATTAGTTCATATGGTGCAAAAGAGTTCATTAGTATATGTGTTTGTTATATATGAAAAGATAAGAGTAAATTTTTTTGATAATGAAAAATTAAAATTAATTCTCAAATATGTTAATCTAAGGGCTTGTTTGGATTGAGGGAAATGAGGGTGAAGGGAAGTTAGGGGAACCATTCACCTCCATTCACTTGTTTGGATTGAGGGAAATGAGGGTGAAGGGAAGTTAGGGGAACCATTCACCTCCATTCACCTTGTTTGGGAACACTTAGGAGGTGAAGTTAATTCACCCTAGTTCTCCTTAGTTCACCCCCTAATTGGGGTGTAACCAAGGGGAAGGGAACTCCCTTCCCTTCCCTTCCCTTCTCTCAGTTTCTCTTAACTTCCCTTCACCCCTTACAAATCCAAACAGGCCCTAAGGATTTAAACAACTGCAACTATATGACCAATGTGTATTTAGATATTTCAGATATGGATCCAAACATCTCACTACGTATTCACCTCCCCAATCATATCAATCATATCCTATTAGATATGTATCTGATCTGCCGATACAAATGTTTTTGCACTTCTACTCACTATGATGGAAGAATTGCAGCTGTGGGTCCCACCCCCCTGTTTTGTCTCACGCGAGTTGCAACTCGCGCGAGCCAAATGCTTTTTTCCGAAAGTTAAGGCTAGTTAGCATTAAGGACGGAAGGACTCATTAATTTATGTATGGAATTCACGTGAGAAGCAGAGAAGCAGAGAGGAAACTTAGAGAGTGGGATTGCTGAAAGGATTGCCCTTCGAAAGGCTACGATATTAATGGATATCTCTAGAAGCAATGACCCGGACCCAATGGATACCTACACCCAACTATTCCATTAATTGAACGACTGCGGAAGCTTCTCCTCATCCAACGCCCCTAAAGCGGGGGTGAGAATATCAACTTTCTCTTTACTTGGTTCGCGCAGCGCTCTCAAAAGCACACGACACGAGAATTAGCAAAAAAAAAAAAAAAAAGAACTCA